AGTCTGGCACAAAGGTTTGCTGTACAAGATAAAGAAATGTCTACCTGGTCCGTACTATTTATTAATCAAATCATATCTGGCTAAAAGATGCTTTTACGTGCAGCAGAAAACCGATACATCATCACTACTTCTCATCAACGCAGGCGTCCCACAAGGATGCGTTTTGGGACCAATTCTCTACACCCAAACAACTGCACTGTTGCTGATGATACAGCCGTTTAAGCCACAAGCACGTCCATAAATGAAGCTTCCGAACTCCTGCAGAGTGAGCTAAGCCTAATTGAAGACTGGTTCCTTCGATGGAACATTAGAATCAACTCCCTGAAATCCGTCCAAATAATGTTTTCATTAAGACCAGGCAGCTGCCCAATTGTTAAACTTGACGGCACACCAGTTCCACAAAGTACCTGTGTGAAGTATCTCGGCTTGCATCTCGACCGCAGATTAACATGGAAAACCCACATTAAAGCAAAATGTCAACAACTCAGACTTAAAACACTAAAAGTGTCCTGGTTGATAAGTCGAAAATCAGAAACCAAACAAAATTCGCCCCTACAAATCCATACTAAAGCCTGTTTGGACCTACGCTATACAGCTCTGGGGGACTGCTAGCAACTGAAATATTGAGATACTTCAGCGTTACCAATCAAAAACTTTGCGACACATTGTCAATGCATTGCAAATGCACAAAGATCTGAATATTCCAACAATTAAATAAGAAATAAATAAAACTAGTAAGAAATACATCGACAGACTCCACAACCACGAAAATAATTTAGCCTTAAGTCTATTAGACAATAGCTTAACAGTAAGAAGACTGAAAAGATACCGCATTCTCGATCTCCCAGATAGATAAGTGCAACAAACTGTAAAGATGTTATATATACTAGCAGGGCTCATTGGAAAACTGACATTTCTGTTAATTTAATATTAATTATACAATTAACTTATTGTTTAAACAGACGAGAGAGAACAAAAATAAACTTGTAATGCAAAATTTAGTGGCTCTAGCTTTACCAGTCTCTGAGATGCAGGCGCTCAACAAGACGGACGGACAAACGGACAGACAGACATAGCTATATCGACTCGGCTACTGATGCTGATCAAGAATATATATACTTTGAGGGGTCGGAAAAGATTCCTTCTGTGCGTTACATTTATACTATTACTATTTACTCTTGGAGTACCGGGTATAAAAGTATAACTTTTTTGACAATATTAATATATGCCAATATTAACATATGTAAAAATGTTTCTCTTTTGAAAAAATCTGAAAAGTTACAACAAATAAATAGATACTTTAAAGACTTTTCTTTCAGTTGGGGAAACCATTGGAAAATCTGCCATTGAAAACAACAATTGATAATCATAATCACTAAAAATGCACCCTACCGCTGAAACCAATCAATCAAACGCAATTCATCAATCAACAATCATGTAGAGTTATTAATAAATACATAAATCAATCAATTGTTACTTAAAAAGCATATCTCAAAGCAGATTCTACTCGTACACCTATGACATATTCATACATATATGCGCCATACTTGATCAGCAATCGTTCCCTTGGCAATTATGGAACCCATTTCTATGCCCTTACCCAAAAATAAGTGATAAACAATCAGTCCACAAATCATTAGATGCATTTTATTTACAGGAATTGTCAGCGTATAAAGATCTATGGGACTATAATCGGTTCTGTGCGGCCAAACCCAGCCGATAGTTGTATTCCTCAAAGAGTTCGGGGGCCACGCGGTACGGTTGATCGATGAGCGAGAGTCGTATGGGATTCTCACAGCTGGGCGTGGCATAGCCAGGTGATTGAGGGGCAGGTGCAGCATAGACCGGAGGAGGTGCGTAAGCCTGAGGAGCGACTGGTGCTGGGGCGTAGATCGGAGGAGCAGGAGCATAGGCAGGTGCCGGTGGAGGTGCCGCTGGTTGCGCCCCATAGTTATAGACAGGCACGCCCCAAATTGGGAGATAGCTGCCGCAGGGCGTGGCCGAGGGTGGTGCTGCTGCGTATGAGGGCGGCACTACAGGCGTTGGCACCTCATACACCGGAGGCGCTGGCGGCGTTGGCGCCTCATAAACAGGAGCCGCTTGCGGTGTTGGCGCTTCATAGACCGGAGGCGAGGGCTGACTGTTGTAGCTCTGCTCATCAAGCTGCAGCTTTGTGGCAACCTCTGTCCTAGATGCTGGTGGGGCAGACACATAGATGATGGGCTGATAGACAATCTGCGGTGGCTGAGCGGCATTATAGCTGCTGGCAGGCTGGGAATAGTCCGACACTTTGCTGTAGCTGTCGGGTGTGGCAGCAGGCTGTTCGTAGCTGCCTGCAGGAGGAGCTGGTGCATCGTAACCGGGAGCAGGCGCCTCATAGCTGGAAGGAGGAGCTTCAGGAGCATCATAGCTAGGAGCAGGCGCCTCATACTGAGGTGCCGGAGCCTCATAGCTGGCAGGAGGGGCCGCAGGAGCATCATAGCTGCCAGCAGGAGCCACGACTGGAGCCACATAGCCCGCATCGCCATCGCCAGGACCATTATACTCGGCATTCGGCTTGGCATAGCCATCCTCCCCGCCATAGCCAGGGGTCGGAGCAGGTGCCAAATAATTAACCTGCGGCTGCTGTCCACAGTTGCCACGGCACAGTCCGCCACAGTTCCCCAGCGGATTGCCGAACAGATCCGGCATCTTCTTGAACAATTTCATTTGCTTAAACGGATCCAAGTCCTGCAGCTGCAGGCCATTGCCATTGCAATTTGTTTGAGGTTGAACAATAGGCGCCACAGCTGGAAACACTACATTGTTGTTGTTGTTGTTGTAATTGTTGTTGCAACTGTTGCAATTATTCTGCCCAAAGAGATCATCCCACCATTTGAGCAGCGATCGATTTGTGCGCTTCAGTGCATCATTGGGACCCACCGAGGAGCCAGCATCGGCCATCAGATAGTACTGAGCTTCGCCTGGAGCGGCAATCCTATTCGTTGGCACATCCCGCAGCTGCTGAATGGCTTGGCAGATGGCCAGGGTACAGCAGAGTAGCACCAAAATTGCTGTTGGGGATCTGCTCATCATTTTGAAGCTTCTTTTGGACGGCCCCCCGAGTGTAACTTTAACCTCGCGTCGCGAACTGTCAACTGCAACTACTGCCAGTGGCTACCATTCCATTTGGAGAGAGGTAGAACAGTAGGGAATATAATTGCAAGGTCAGCAGTGGATGATGCACTGCCTTGGACAAGGGTATGCCACTTTGAATGGTGGATTTGTGGGTGCATTGTTGAGCCTCCTTTTAATTGGTATTAATTTGTATCTTTTTACATTTTTGATACATCTATTTCTATGTAGCTGTAATACATTTTTAGATATTTTGTATTACCCATTTTTAGTTTCATTTACTAAATATATTTATATAATTTAGTTTTTAATGAATTTTGTTCTTTATTCTTAAAAATAGATCTCCTCGAATATTGTAAGATTAACCACATATAATTATTCTTTAAGAATTCCTTAGCTTGATTATAAATTAGGTGATTTGGTCTTTGATGCATTTTGATTTTGATTTTAAAGAGCATTTATAATTCTTCTTGGCCCCTATTTCTGTCCACAACATAATGAGTACGCTTGGTATGAGGAAGTTCCCTGCTTACCTCTCATATTTCGCAAGCCCCCTGAAAAGAGTAACCCACTTAATAATAGAAGCCGCAGCAACCCACCCAATCCGAGGCACACACACACAGCTGGTGCGTTCCCAATTCGAATCCCAGACTCAAGTCAAGATCCAACAACCTCCCTCCACACAATTCAAGTGGTTTTTTTGCTGCAGCAGTGCATTGACTCTAAGCATTATTATTTACTTGTATTTTCATTCATTTTTCCTTTTCTTTGCTTAACTTTTCTCTTTATGGTTTATTTAAATTGTTCTGTTACGTGCTCGAAATTGCTAATCGCCAGCTGGTGCTTGGGGCTTTGGTGGTTCCTGTTTGATCCGTGGAGCGTAGCTGTCGGTGTTGGCCATAAACACAAAACAGAAAAACACCAGCCATAAGCCATAAGCCATGGCCATAGGCGTAGCCAAACGGAAGTATACGGAGGTATATCCAGTAAAAGCCAGTAGGATAAATATATACTTTACTCTGTCTACATATATGTAGACAAGTATCTGCTGGCTATATAAAATACTTCCTTAAGTGGCTTTGGCCATTGGCTTTGCTTATTCATCCAACGGCCTTTTGTTAAACGTTTTCGGAGCTGGGCAATGGGCATTGATGGATAGACATGCGAGTGGGAAATATTTATTTACAAAATAAATATGTTGTGGATATACGGTTAAAGAAAGATATTTACAGTTGGCACACAGATGGGATTTCTGCCTAAATCTACAAATGTTCCTTATATTTACATATATACTACAAGTCTCTCTTTAAGCTCGCATCAATCCCCAAGTCCCATTTCAATCTCCTATCAAACGTTTTGAGAAACGGGGAATGGTAGGGGGATCTTTGGGGTAACTGACGAAAAAGTTTTGAAGAAGTTTCCGTCTCAATGTACAAGTCTTCCTTCCATATCCTATAAATCCCCCAAGTCTCTCTATGATTTCCAATGAATCCCCAAGACTCTCTTTTAAGCTCCTAGCCGTAGTTAAAGGAAATTTGTTTGGGTAAATGCCATAAATTTCAATCCTTTCTTTGAGGGTTTCCTTCACCTCAAGACTCAAATTCGAATAGCAAAGAAAATGTAGAAAAACTTCTAGACTAATTGCAGAAAATTGCCAGAAATATTTCCATAAAGTGCCACCCAAAATACTCACCATAAGAAACCCCCACTTCAACTGTCACAAAACTTACTTTTAATTAAAGACAAATATTAACGTTCCATCATTAAATTCCACACCATGTTCAGTGCCACGGAAAGTCCACTTAGATTCACGCAAAAGATTAAGGCTGCAAAGGTACATATACTCGTAAAAACGGTCTTGAAAAATGGAAGAAGAAAGTTCACAATTTATAAATTAAATTTGTTTTATTCATAGAAGTAAACAAAAATGGGGAGTAAAGTTCTAGAGCTGCTGCAGATACTTTCGCTTCTGGTTAATTCCCTTATTGAGCCGCGAATTGTGGCGTTTGCGCTTCTCCGCCTTCAATGAACTTTCGGTATTTCCCTGCTCATCCGACTTGAGACTCTCCTCGGCCTTGTTCATGAGATCCTTGGCAGTTAGCTTGCCCAGGGGTATGGATTCGAGGGAGGCACCGACAGAAGCATCAGCCTCGCTGGAGGCTGCCGGTGTGGACTCCACATGATCTTCATCCTCCTCCTCATCCTCCTCCTCCTCGTGTTCATCCTCTTCTGCCGTTGCGGAGAGGGCAGCCCCCAAACTAGGCTCCGATGAGGCAGTGCTCGGTGCCGCTGTCGGTGTGCTGCTGGAAAAGTTTAGTTTTCCCGACTTTTCCGTGGATTGCTGCAGAGTAGAGCCCACGGGTGGTGCCTCTGTTGTTGTCGGTGGGGGTGTGGAACTGTCAAACTGGAAAATTCGCTGGAAACCATTCTTATGGGGCTGTGGCGTGGTGGGCGCTCCAGCGCCGAGAATTCTGTTGAATGGATTGAACGGATTCAGGCCGCCAAATGGTCCAAATGGATTCAGGCCCAAGCCGAAGCCAGCACCGACCTGAGGACCGGCCAGGCCAAAGGGGCTGCCCACTTGGGCCCCCATGTTCATGTTGAATCCAGGGTTGGGATTATTAGTCATCTGTGGTGCCATTCCAAAGGGATTGCCAACCTGTGGAGTGCTTCCAAAGGGACTACCAACCTGTTGATTTGCTACAAAGGGACTGCCAACTTGTTGATTCGCTCCAAAGGGACTGCCACCCTGCTGCTGCGCTCCGAAGGGACTGCCAACTTGTTGATTCGCTCCAAAGGGACTGCCACCCTGCTGCTGCGCTCCGAAGGGACTGCCAACCTGTTGATTCGCTCCAAAGGGACTGCCACCCTGCTGATTGGCTCCGAAGGGACTGCCCACCTGCTGATTCGCTCCAAAGGGACTGCCACCTTGCTGATTGGCTCCGAAGGGGCTGCCAACCTGCTGATTGGCTCCGAAGGGGCTGCCAACCTGCTGATTCGCTCCGAAAGGACTGGCACTTTGCTGATTGGCTCCGAAGGGACTGCCCACCTGCTGATGCGCTCCAAAAGGACTGCCAACCTGCTGATTAGCTCCATAGGCGCTGCCCATGCCATACGGACTTGCCACTTGCTGATTTACACCATATGACGATCCATAGGGACTGGGACCAGGCATCTCATTGCCACAGGAGCTTGCCACTCTATTGGGTAGGGCCAGATAATGTGTGGGCTGCTGATCGTAGCAGGGCATGGCTATGATCACGGGCTGAAAGCTGGGACATACAGTGCTGAAGCTTACACCAGTATCCGCTGGACATTGTCGTGGCACAATCGGAGAGTTGCAGCCGTTGCAGTAGGAGTTGTAGGCAGTTGGTGCGGATTCCAGGTTTGACGGAGGCAGCTCTGGCCTGGCATATGCAGGCGGTGGCGGAGGCAATGTGGGCGGTGTCTGAGGTTCTGCGGCTTGGCCGTAGAATGGCTGATAGCTTTGACCCACCAGAGGTTCGCTGGGTTCTGCAGGTCGCATTGATTGGACTCGCTCGAGCTGTGGTGTCCTTAGGGGTGCCCTTTGGGCTGCAGCTCCTACTGTTGGTCCTGCTGCTAAGCCTTCTATTTGCTGTGGTGCCAAACTACTATAGAACGATCTCATTACCGGATCATCGTGCGGGTCACCCACTGGGGCAGGTGGCAACCAAACCATTTGCGGCTCTGCCAAATCCTGCTGCTGGCGCTGCTGCATCGGCGGCTCTGGCATGCCTCCACGATAATGCTGTCTGAATTCCTCCGGCTGGAAACCCACTCTGGGCACACCCAACACATCCGCATTCAGCCCAGGCTGATGGCGACCTCCTACCACTGGCGGCGTCTTGTACTGCTGTCCCTGTGCCTGCGCTGCTTTTGTAGCTGGCGCCGACTTCGGAGCTGCTGCAGAATTATATGCAGTGGGCGTGGCCGTTGGGCCTGCGCCTGCATTACCTCCGTATTGAAGTGCTGACGGGCTGCCTGGATTTGGGCGAAGAACTGCTGGCAAGCCATATGACTGCGCTGCAGATGCAGCCGCAGGGGGAGCCACGGATCCGCCAGGGTAGCCAAATTGTTGTTGAGGATTGTGGGGCTGCTGTCGAGCATTGAAGGACTGCTGTGGAGGTCGCTGTGCGTATTGGAGCTGCTGCTGAGGAGCATTTTGGGGCTGCTGCTGAGGCTTTGGGAACTCCTCCTGCTGCGGCCGCTGCTTCTGGTATGTCGTCGCTGGCGTTTCCCTTCTGGGCTCCTCATATTGCTGTTGGCCTGGAAATAACCCGCCTCCAAAGACGGGAAACGACGGAAAGGTGTGCGCAACTGGTGCTGCTTGTGGCTGATACGTTGGTGCCGCTGCGGCTGGTGTCTGCTTTGGGTAGGGAAACTCGTGGGGTGCGGGCTGCTCGGCTTGTCCAGTTCCACCTGCAAAATCATTGCCTTTGCACATGTAGTAGAGCTCTCCGTGGGCGCCGCCGGGCTTAAATTCCACGCAACTTTGTTTGTTTTCATCACCGAAATTCTCACCCTTGCACATGTAGTAGGGCTCCTCCAGTGGACCACTTGGCTTGATCTCCACGCAAATGGTGGTGAGAGTTCGCTTGGAGCGGTGGTGAGGCAGCTCCTTCTTTTGAGTCACAGGAAAGGTAACTGCCGCATTCTGGGCCTCAGTTTCAGCGGAGACTTCCACTGCAGGCAGCCTTATAGTTCGTTCTTCAGCTGCCCAAACCCCATGGAGCCCAAAGACCAGCCATAACCACAGCAAAGTCTTCCCGTGGTGTGAATATCTATCCATTTTCTTCCGCTTACTAACTTCCGTTTGCAGCTTGAGAGCTCTTTTATATACTTTAGAGCTGTCTTTCCTCTCCTCTTTTTTCTGGAACAGAATCGTTTGGCAATTGTTTGAATCTCTCTCTGTCTCCTCTATATTCAAAGTTCTACGTCCACCCACCACGTTCTTCTTACCCAATAGAGTTCTTCGTAGTTGTCTTGCCCAATTGCTGATTTTCTTTGATTGAATGTTCCTTCTCCTCCTTTTCTGCTGGGGTTTTTTCTCGTTTATGGCACTGGGCTACTCGTAATTTGAGTTTCTTTCGCTTGCAAATCACATGACTGAATAAATACGAATGCAACGTCTACCGGAGCGAAGAGGTTTTTTCTTTGAATAGGGAATACGCTGCTGGAATGTAAAGTTGTGTGACAATTTCGATGGTTTTGGGATTGATTTGGTAGGATCTTTATGCCGTTTATTTGAAGATCTAATACCTTTTTAAACAATATTCTTTGTAGTTTCAATGGGGAGGAATTTTCTTTCACTGGGTTAAAGAAAACTAAGAAATTCAGCTTGTTTTTCACATCAATATATCCTGTCTGCATCTGCTCTCCTGCTTGATGAACTTTCCATATCATTCGAGTTGGTTCTCTCGCCTCTTCATTTTCTCAGCTAACACTTGATAATTTCTTATTAATATTCAAATCGTTTTAGCGTTTTTCTGGCCCCTATTCAATCACAAATAAATCGCTGTTAATTGATCACTAAAATTATCCTAATTCTGTCATTATTTAAGCTGCTTTTTAGCCATACATATTGGAACATTGTCAATTAGACATTTAAATTTGGATCTCTCATTCTTTTCAGCAATTTCTCATTAGAGTTCTCTTAGTATTCGCATTGCTTCTGTTCATTGCCCACTTAGAGCATTAATCATTCCTTTATGCCAAATTCTATATTTTCCAGCCACCAATTACCGCTGATCCTCGCAATTGTGATTTCGCGTGTGTTTGCAGTTCAAGAAACTTCTCCTCCGATTGCCAGCGCCTGAACAACAATCGAACTACAAAGTCAGCAAAAGAATTAAACCTAAAGTTCTGCCAGCAAAGAAAAAAAGAAGAAAGAACGAACCCAGAGCCGTCTGTGTTTTTTTTTTAGGAAAATGTTTGCATGGTGTTGAACATTAGCTATTAGCCGATAAATTGGTCATTGGGTCAGCGGGTGTTAGATTCCAATTCGCTGTTACTGACCTGACCCATAAAAGAAAACCCTATAAAGACGTGAAGTAAGAGAGGGAGAGAGAGAGGACAGCCACAAGGAGAGACATGGGGAAACGGAGTCGCACATGAAATGGCCGTAAAAAAAAATAGCAGCAAACATGAAACGAATGCAAAAACAAAACGAAACATGAGAACCACACGTGAGACCACCTCTTATAAAGAGTACGCCTCTCCCCACTCCACTGATGACTAACGAAAGAGCAATTAACCCATGCGAATGGGTGAATTAACTTACAAGGTGAAGTTGTCCGCTGTGGGGAGGACAACTTATTCACCACGCTCAAAGAGACAGCCGCTGGAAAGGGATGCAGATAGAGATATTGATGAAGAGACGTTACTACCTTGTAAGTAAATTCACCTTGCGCCATGCGTGTGCTTCAGAACTTGAAATGAACCCCCACAGAAACCGTCATTCTCCCCCATTCAATTTAACAAAAGTGCTAGAGACCTTTTGAAGTGGGGTAGGGGCAGAGGATTTACGCATTATGTCAGACATTTGTCACTTACTCAGCTACGGGGGAAGGCAGGCAATAGACTGAGTGGCTCCCGCTCAAGAAAGCGAAACGGGAACCGCACCCATGGACACCAGGAGGGGTTGTTGCCGCTGCTGCAACGCTGTAAAACATATGTATGTCGACAGGCAGGCAGGTCTACATTGAAGCGCTCTACATTCATTATCATTTGTTAATAATCAGGTTAAGCGCCCCGCCGTAGACAAGGGTGTGGTCGTACCTCCTTCTTCTTCCGTGCCAAAAAACGCCACACACACGTCTCTACCTTTGGCGGCTTATCACAAAATTTCTTTTATAGATAGCAACTATTAAATTGGGTTTGTTTTTTGCTTGCAAAATAGCAACATTAGTTGTTGGGTTATTTTTGCACTGGGCTAAACCCCTGAATTTTCTACCCAAAAAGTACCTCAATATGCAGCAAACATTTGACTCTTTTTGTAGGGAAATCACTTTGCGTTTCCTTTAAGATAAAACACTGAGTAAGTGGCATAAAATTAGCTAGCTGGGATGGAATGTCACCAAAGAGTCAATCTGTTGAGCAAGTAATTCCGTGAACAGCTGAGAAACCCTAAATGGAGTATGCAGAGTCCCAGATATTATATCTAAAATGGGGGAATTAATGAGGGATAATTCAAAGATCGTATTGCTCATATATTCATGATTAAGTTCATGATAAATCCATGATGGATCAATGAAACATAATGGATTCATGATTAATTCATGATAAATCTATGGAAGATCCATTAATATATTGGTCCCTGATGGATTCATGATTCATCACTAGACTGAAGATTCATCCCTAAAGGTCCATAAAAATATACATGATACGCCAGTAATAAATTTGAGATTTTCATGAGAAATTCTATAAAAATTGCATTAGGTTTCCATTCATTCAATTTCTCTCTTAATGCCAAGGCTATGTTACCCAATAACCCATAAGAATTTCCATCATTTCGGTTTATTTTAAAGTAGACTTTTCACAATTTGTATATGTCAACTTTTAAGTTACTCGAAGAAGCGCGAGATACTGAGTAAACTGAACATTTACCTGCACTCAAAAACCCGTTTGACCTTGCAACTTCCTGAGGTTCTCAAAGGTAAACCAAAACACCACCGACCAAGGACCAATGCGCACCCAGCAGGGTATAAAGCCCTTGTACATGGCCAAGGGACCCTCCTGGCTAATGAGCTTGTAATAGCAATCAAAGGCGTTCTTATAGTGCAGACCCTGACCAAATTGGTCCGTGGGTTGATTCATAATACGCGAATTCACCACATCCGTGGGTGTGCTCAGAGCACTGGCCGCAAAGCCCGCCGAGACAGAGGACAGAAATTGAATGAGCAGACCGTCGGGCATATGTAGCCAGGACATAAAGTGACGTTTGCTGAGGTCATAGCAGGCCGTGTCACCTGGGGAACAGATCGAAAATTAGAGGAAGTTGTAGTCTGAGATCTCTCTGAACAACTTACCAGCTGTCATTAGCATGGCGCGGGCACAGCTGGGACCACAGCCCTTCCACAACGAACGCAGGCCGCCATGCTGGTAGGCATCGCCCAGGGCCTGCCTCACATTGCTCACACGCGCCGGATACCCCAGCGCCCGAAGCCTGCCCTCCATTTGCCTGCGAATCAGGACAATGTCTAGAGGCTTGGCTATAAACTGGGAAGCACAACCAGCCAGACAGCCGGCACCAAAGCCACGGGACACTGTCAACACATCTTTGCCACTGGCCGGGTCCACATAGGACAATCTGCGACGCAGACAGTCATAGAACACCACACGCAAACCATTGAAGAACAGATTCCGGATGATCATGGCGGAGAGACCAGCATAGAGTCCACTCAAACCCTCCTCCCGAGCCATGCCCAGCGCAGTGCCGAACATGCCACGTCGCGGTTTACCCTGTCCGGACTTCTCTGGCGCCTCGCCCTGCAGGTGCAGACGGCTCTTGGTCACATCCATGGGATACGTGAAGAGTTCTGCACTTGTGGCACCCAAAAAGGTGTTGAAGTACATGGCAAGCAGACCGTCGAAGCGCTGCACCCTGGCCTCCTCCACAAGGGGAAAGGCCGGTGCGAAAAAATTACTGCGAATGTAAACCCTAGGACTACCATCACGGGCCATAGTTGCAAAGGAATTTCGAAATATATAAACTACAGGAACAACAAAGAGTGTAGCACGTATTTGGAAAGCAGGAACGTTGTTCTACAATTTGAATGACAATTTTAACAAATTACGAGCTGAGATGGGAAGATTGCTCACAGATTATGAGGATGAAAATACTTTTGAGAATTGTTTACGAGTATGAATTGTACAATTTTAATGAGAAAATATGAATACAATGATCCTCATCAGATGATCTTCTAATTTCCAGAGTAAAGTATGAACTCTGTGACACTTTTCTTGAAGTAATAACTGCCTATTTTGATGGCAATATGCAGCAGAATGTGAAGCACTTTTACGATCAAAACAAATGAAGATTCTCTTCCGTTTATACATTCCTCTGCTAACTTTTCCTATAGACTATAATGTGTACCCTCTTTGCGGGTATTTTTAATACGGTTTGGTTGAGACAATATGCACAAACCAAACCCACAAAGATCCTCTCCAGCATATCCTCTAAATTCCACAAATTTTTATGAGATTTCCAATCCAATTTTGATGGGAATAAAACGAAGAAAGTGAAGCGCTTTTACGATCACAAGAAATGACAATCCTCTCGAGTTTATGCCGCACTTTGCTCTCCAAATAATGATCTTTGAGGACACTTTTTAAGTTCACATCAAATGAAGATCCTCTTCAGTCTATACCACACGTTGCTCTCCAAATTATAATATTTCTAGTGGTTGCCGAGTCCTCTACAGTGATCACAATTCCTTCCATTAAAAAGTAGTTCCTGCCCTCAGAAACCCGCTTGTCCCTCCAGATCTCTTAAGAACTCCACAGACAACCAGAACAGCACCGAGAAGGGACCCAGACGAAACCAGCAGGGCAACAGGCCCTTGTACAATGCCAGGGGACCCTCCTCGCTGACAGTTTTTACCAAACAATGCATGGAGTTCCTGTAGGTGAGATTCTTGCCGGAGGCATCCGTTTGTTGATTCATCACCCGAGATTTGATGACATCGGCGGGATTGCTGAGCACACTGGCCGTCAGACCGGCACACATGGAGGAGAGGAAACGCAGACGCAGGCCATCGTCCAGATCGAGGAGATTCTTGAAGAAACGTTTGCTTAGATCGTAGGAGCCGACATCGCCGGCGGTCATGAGGCATGCGCGCAGGCAGCTCGGCGTGACGCCCTTCCACATGCGAATCAGGCCACCCTCACGGTAGATGCTCGTGAAGCCATCAAACAAGTTGGTGACACGCGGCTCCTTACCCATCAATCTGCGGCGACCCTCCGTCTGCATGCGCACCTTGACAATGTCAAAGGGATTGGCCATCGCCTGGGCAATGCAGCCAGCGACAAAGCCGCACGACAGCGCCGACGAGACGGACAGTGTTTCCTTATTATTTTCATCCACTTTGATGAATTTCCGCCGAAAGACATCGTAGAGCACCACCCTCATCGAGTTGAAGATCAAATTCCGCGCGACCATGGCCGAAAATCCGGCATACAGTGTCTGGGGGCCCTCGTTCTTCACGATACTTTTGAGCGTGGCCAAGGCATTGGGTACCTTGGCGCCCGTCTTCTTGGCCTCCTCACCCTCCACCTGCATGCGTGTCTTGGCCACATCCAATGGGTACACCCAGGACTCGGCGAAGTTGGCGCCCAGAAAGGTATTGAAATAAAGTTGTAGCACCGTTCGCACCGTCAGCGGTTCCGTGGTGGACACTGGCGGTAATGGCGGTCGCCTGTCCATTCGGTTGGACTTTAGTATCCAGTGTTTTAAAGGATCTTTGTCCATTCTTGAGAGTTACTTGGAATTTATTAGATGTTTACTATAATTTAACACACTATTTACTATTTTTTCTATGGTATATCTAATATTTTTTGTAGTGTTTGAAAAGCATTCTGGGATGGGAAATAAATAAAATAAATCTGGGAAATTTTTTAAAAATATTTTAGGACAGTTCTTGGCCCCCCACTGCTTTATCGATACCGAGAATCCAAAAACAAACAACGCGCCGAGTGCGAACACAACTGTACGCGACCTTGAGTCGAGTCTGCGGCTCGTGATCGAGACTGGAACCGAGACTGGCTGTCACCCTCATTCGTGTCATTATGGCTACCAAAACGGAATGTTTATGGGCAGATCTTTGGAATTTCACAGCTGTAATAACCATAAGTCCTTCACTGCCCTTCTACACCTTCAAAAATAATTGATTTAAGCTCTCCGACTCTAGCAACTAGCGAAAGCTAGGAAATCGTAGAGCGACTGCGACTAGCATTAGCATATTTTATTAAATGAATCAATCTCTCGTGCGCTTATCCGCTCCGCTCGTTGCCCCGCAGCCAAACGCATTTGAATTTGTCCGTTAGACATGGAAATAAAAAACAAAACACGCGCCTCAAATTACAGAAAGAGCGAGAGACAGCAAAGCGAGATGGGACGAGGGGCAGGGAGGCAGCCAAAGGCCAGTCACAAAAAAAAAGTTACAATAATAATATATGATTAATTGTACTGCTGATAAAAAGTTGTCGAGACGAGGCAGCCAGGCAGCCAGCTCTTTCATGAATCATTTTGATTTTCTCCAAAAATAGCAGAGAAGAAATAATACTAAGAGGGGGAAGCTATTGAGAAAGCGAAAGTGAAAGATGAACAGCGACGGATGAGCACATTCAGAAAAATATTTGTACATATTTTCACACATTTACAAAAAACCAAAAATTTGGGTCAATGTTTTGTGCTGTGGCAGAGGATGTAAGTAGATGCCACCAAAACGGCAGAACAAAATTATTGAAAGAAATGCCAGCTGCAAAAATTGGAGAGGAGGACGGAGACCCACGCATAAAATTAATAAATAAATATCTCTGTTTTATGTACTATAATATTTGTTGACCCCCAAATAATTGCGCACTTGCGTCAGGCGTTTCGCATTGAGAATGATTATGCAGCGATAAAAATAACTAGACAATTTGCATAGACCCAAACATGGGCACAGACACAGAGGCAGAGACGGAGCAATGTCTTATAAATTCATTGAAAGAAAACCATTAAAGCTGCAAAAGTACAAGCGGGGCGATAACAACACAGCCAGAGTTCAATGATCCATCAAATTATGAAGCAGAAAGAGAAGGTAAGCTGCAAAGCGACTGTTTCTAACCAAAAAGTGGGTAGAACAATGTCAATCAAAGAAAAGTTCATAAATGCTAAATCTGGCGATAAAAGCGCAAAAGGTCAATGAGCAGAGACCTGAAAGAAAGCAAATCAAAAGCAAGAGCAAACCAAAAAAATGCAAAGCAATCAATGTCAAGCCCAAGGAATCATCAACTTTTAAAGCCCTGGCGATATCAACTCATAATCATATCGAGAGCAGAACGGGAATAGGAATAGGAAAAGAAAAAATATATAAATTGAAAGCATTCACAAAGCGACAAAGAATCAACAATTTTTAGATATCACTTTAGATAACAAGGTCAAAAATCGATCGATTCTACAGCAGACCTGAAATACTTAATCGAACGAAAATTAAGTTAAATTAATTAAAAGCAAACCACAAAGAATCCGAAATTTTTAGGTAACATCTCAAAAGTTCAACAATTTATCGATTTCCCTTGATTATTGTGTGCTTCAACTTCAAAGCAAACCTGCAAGAGAAAAAGAGCCCTACAAAAAAATTGCACACTTTTGTTTTAATTTTTTATGAGGAGAATTTTGTGTTTGTCTCACTCGAGTTTTTTATTTCAATAGTATTAAAGTATCGTATTATATATGTTGCTTTTTCTTTTTTTGTGTTTGTTTTGTTTTATGTTTTATATTCATATATTTATGCATTCGGTTTTTACTTCACGTTTCTGTTTGCTTGTACGAAAAATGTCTGTGTGTTTTTTGGACTCATGGTTGGGGGGTGGAGGCTAAGAGGTTAAGGGCGAGAGTATAGGGAATAGTAAGTGGGGTGGTTGGGAGGGGGGTTGGTTTATTCCGGAAAAGCCACATTAATTTATGTATGATTTGTTGTAGTATGGTAATCGTATGTTTAATTGTTACACATGCATTGTTTGTTTTTTTTGTTACGTTATTCGTATGGTAAGAGAGTTTTAATGGCGATTTAACTGCCGAATTCTGTTCTTCGTCTTCTGCAAGGTGTGCTACTTTCAGCAATAAATGTTCCTCCGTTTCAGTGTTGGGCAACGCAAAACCCCAGGGTTGCACCACTGCACACTTAACGGTCTACATGTACGTTTTTATCGAATGTTTGTTTGTCTGTTAAGCATGATGTAGTATGATAGGATTTTCGAAACACTAAAGGCAATGAGCACACAGTAAATTAAAAAGAATGAGAGAGATATATGTATATGGTAAGAGAGATGGAGAGAGAGCGAGCGTTTGGTGTGATTGATTATATGGTCAAGAAGATCCTAATACCCTATACATAGACATTTCTTATGGCAAAATGGTGCAGTTTGTGAGGGGGCGGGGATAAACAGAATCTAGATTCTTTATTTTAATGCAGGTTTCGCAATCGTATAAAAAGTGTTCACACACCGCGCACACACACGTGCGCATACCACACCTCTCACAGACACATGCACTCACACGTGTATAAATAGAGCATCTGCATGGATCTCCAAATAGTATACATATATAAATATACATATATATAGATACATATATTTATTTTTCGATTATTTTCGGTTTTTGCTTGTGAGTTTTTCTCTGCGCCTACCCTCAAAAGTCTCTCTCTCTTCTCCGAGATCCAAGATACGAGTTCTGCTCTCACTCACTCTCTTTTCTTTTACTCTTCATTTATGTCTGTATACAGATAGATATATATATATATATATATATATATATATATAATCGTGTATATATACATATACCATTGCGTGTATATATTGCTATACAAAAAATGTTTCAAAAATTGTTTTTTTTTTTTTATATTGTGTTTGCCTGCGTTGCTTTGCGTTCGTTCTTCTTTTCTTTCTTTGTTTTCTCTTCATTTTTACAGTTCTACTTTTTGTTGTTCCAAATTATTGGATTTTAGATTGAGGACTGGAATTGTCAATGTTTTTTTGTTTTATATTTTATTTTTATCGTATAAACCAAAAGTTTTTTTAATCATAATAAGCAGAGAAATCTATAATTTTGTTGTTGTAGTGGTTTGCTGTTGTTGTTTTTGCGGGTAATTGATTTGCGTGTTTTTTTCAGAACAGAATTGCGGTTTGCACATCCTCTCTCGTTCCCCAAAATCTCCTCCGCCTTGGCCGTTTAGTGTGTGGGGGGAGGGGAAATTTACTCCATAATTTAAATATTAATAATTACTTCCTTTTTTTACGATTTTTTATTATTAGCATTTTCCTCGCTCAGGGGATCCCATCCATCCATCCATCTTCCTATCAAAGTCGCTGTTGTTGTGGTTGTTGTTTCCTGGTTGCTGGTGCTTTGTTGTGTGTGTTTGATGGAGGAGTTGTTGTTTGTCTTGTTTATGTTTTGTTTTGGAGTGGAGTTGTGGTTGTTTGTGTTGTTGATCTATTCACCTACTATCTAGTACCCGCAAGTAATCAGATAGTCTCCGAGTTTCTCTACAACGGAAGCGGCCTGCTGGGGCTGTACGGGATCCTCGTAGATGGAAACGATGACGGCTGTTTGAAAAATATTTAAATGGAGAAAACAAAAACGTTAAAAGATTGACACGATTTTTGTTGGGTACCTTCCTGACATAAATAAATCTAAAATGGAAATCTAAAAACATCATTCTAAACCATCTTTCACTTCTATAAGAATTTTACTGTGGCAAAAATCAAGTTTAAAATCCTATTTCTAAAAGGAAAGATTTCTCATCCTTGAATCACCTCTGAAGAGAGCTCTCTTCCTCCCAGCGAAAGTTCCCTTTCCCCTGCTTCTACATTCCTTACGAATTCTTTTGAGAATTCTTCTTTAAACAGAACCGCTTTCACTAGAGCAAGTAAAAGCTTCCTTCCCCTTCATCTCCATAAACTGCAGTTTCTTGCTATAATTCTTCCTCAAGAAACCTCTATCCGGTTGACAATCAAATCAAATGCTCTCAAATGTGAAGAGAAAGCAGGCAGCAACACCATCAGCCGCTTCGTAGAAATAAGAACTAACAGTAGTTTCTTACACGAGAGGCAGCAAATTATGAATAAAAGCGCTCAATAAAGAGAGTGTCCCCCGTCCGTCTCTGTCGCCAGGTGAAAACCGGACGGACAGGCGGCTCAGACCGCAGACAAAACCGAACCAGAACAAATCGCACAGACCCCAAACCCAATGCGACGACGAAGAGCAGACGACATGGGGAGGAGGAGGCGGAGGAACATGAATGACAAGACAAGACCTGTGTCTGCTCTTCGGGGCTTAGCTCAAAAGTGTGCAGATGAGAGGAAAGAGAGTCGTCTCAGTCTCGGTTTGAGTGGCGGCTAATACATTAATCGAATGAGCAGAAAATGTGATGGAGAAGATGGAGCCTAATTGATTGAGCGAGCACAGCGGAGAGCACAAATTGGAGAGTAAACCCCGAGACAAAGCACCGGCCCGGGGGGTCAATAAACCAATGTCTTTGGCATTCCACAGAGTAAGGTATTTGACAGCTTTTGGCTGTCGCCTGACAGCTGTCATCGGCCCACCCACACAGCCAAAGACCTGCCAATTCGTTGCGGAGAATCGATAAATGATAACTTCCATACAGATGTAGTCTTTTTCTATCAATTCTCCCTTTCTCACAGCTCTTAAAAGTAGCCGAAGCATAACGAATGGTAACATTTCAAATGGTGCTTTGTTTTTAAATGACTTGTTAGTTGCATAATTAAACAATAATCCGATTTACACAACCAGCAAACATTGTTGGGG